TACTAAGCCTAGATTTAGCCTTAAAGTCTTTCTCAAATCAAGAGGTACTGACAGTCTTTTCTAATTAATGAATCAGAATTGTTGGAAATTTGTTTGCCATTTCCTTTAACTCTAAATTTCCTGATAGAAGAAGATAAATAAGATAGTTGACTATGACTTACCCAAATCACTGAGCTATTTAGAAACGGAGATATAACTGAAATGGGTTACCTGGCTCTTTCTATTACCCTATATAGACTAAAAAGGATTTTGAGATATTAGGAGGAAAAGTCCTTTAGGTGTCTGATAAACCATAGCTTTGTCTTCCATTTCTAATAATATTATGGCATGCATTCCATTTAGGAACTTCCAGTAATGGATGATTACTTATAGTAATTTTACTTTTCATCATTTGATCCACAATTTAATTATAATCATATTTGTAAAATGATTCAAATGCATGCACACACAAACATATATACACACATAGAGGGACATTCAAAATAATGTTTTTAGAAAGAAGGTAGTGTAATATTCTGTAATGTTCTGAGAAACACAGGAGATAATGATACTGTTGGTAAGTGATATGATAATTTTTCATTTAGGCTAATTATCCCAAGAAAAGGATTCCTACATTGTATTTTTCTTTTTTGCTTTAGATAATTTAAAAATGAGCATGCCTATACAAATTTGATAATTTTCATTACAAAATTGGGGAGCGTGTGTGCTATGGTGAGTGCTGTGAATTGTGTAAGACTGTTGAATCACAGACCTGTACCTCTGAAACAAATAATACATTATATGTTTAAAAAAAAAAAGATGGTAGGAAGGGAAAAATGAAGGGGGGGGAAATAGGAGCGGGAGATGAACCATAAGAGACTATGGACTCTGAGAAACAAACTGAAGGTTCTAGAGGGGAGGGGTGTGGGGGGATGGGTTAGCCTGGTGATGGGTATTAAGGAGGGCATGTTCTGCATGGAGCACTAGGTGTTATACGCAAACAATGAATCATAGAAAACTAATGATGTAATGTATGGTGATTAACATAACCTAATATAATTAAAAAAAATTCAAAACTGAGTTCAAATGGAAGAAAACAATTTCTCAAAAACTCTAAAAAAATAATCATTTGGTGAGGATATTATAAGTGAATTCTCCGTAGTTGTCACTTTGAAATTGGATTTAGGTAAATTTCCCATTTTATGTTCAGTGGTATTTTTTGTTTTTTGTTTTTTGGTTTTTTTTTTTTTGGTTTTTGCTTTATAAACAGTGAAACTGTTCATCTCATTGAGTTGTTATTCTGGGGGGATGAAAAAGTGCAATACACAGATTCATTAACTTGTAATGGCTCATTTTAGTTTCTCACTGAATTGACTTTTGAGACAATTACTGTAGCTTGATTTTTTCCTCTACTTCTCTTGTAATAGAAAGGGTACTTCATTTAGGAAAATGTGAATAAAAATAGTGTTGGTTAGCATGCTCAGAAAAGAGATTTTTAAATCTTATTTTAGAAGTGGTGATATCATGCTCATAAACTTCCAAGTTTTCTTTGTTTCTTTTCTCCTTTTCCTTCTCTGTGAAGCTTTGAGAATAACAAGAGGCATGTCCAAAATTCCCTCTAGCAAGGGATTTGGTAAGGACAGAAATATATAAACATATTTTATACTTTCTTAATCACTAAGTATTTCCAAAGAAATTTTGAAAGTTTCTTTAATAGTCCTTGATTTTACAGGAAGAAAAAGGACCAAAGTTTGTTCTTTCCACACACTTCAATAAACAAATACCTGTAATATAAAAAAGAAATTGGACTGAACTTACCAATTATCTCATTATTAGGAAGCATGTATTGAGAGCTTCTTAGATACAGTCTAAACTATTAAACTCAGACACTGTCTTTAGGGGCTTCCTATTTAATTGGGATGTACCTCAATTTATTAGAGATAATTAAGTAGAAATTAAATGACTGTTAATTTTAGACACAGAAAAGTCATTTTCACTTTTGTTAAATGGAAGAAATATTAATCCATATGACCAATAAATGTTGAGCATCAGTTATGTTATATATATAAGGTGTTTTGTGAAGGTAAAAGTAATATTTGAAATTCTGATAAAAGTTCACTTTTATTTGCTTTCTTTTATGTCACTTTTACTGAAGAAAATTGCTTTGATTTTTTTTTTGCTAATAAACATTTCATTAAAAAAATTTTTTTGAGAACAGAAATTGATGGGGCACCTGGGTGGCTCAGTTGGTTAAGTGTCTGCCTTCGGCTCAGGTCACGATCCCAGGGTCCTGGGATAGAGCCCCGCATCATGCTCCCTGCTCAGTGGGGAGCCTGCTTCTCCCTCTTCCACTCCCCCTGCTTGTGCTCTCATCTCTCTCTGTCTAATAAATAAATAAAATCTTAAAAAAAAGAAATTGATAAAATAGGGTTAAATTTAATGAATTCTTTAGAAAAATCATTACCCGGATTATGGTTATTAGAATTACTTAATACACACACACACACACACACACACACACACTAAGATTTTACAGGCGGATATATGTGTGTGTGTGTATGTGTGTGTGTGTGTGTGTGTGTGTATTTTATCAGCCAGGATTAAGTTCTATTACATGAATAGTAATGCACATGAAATTATCTTAAAAGTCGGGGCACCTGGGTGGCTCAGTCAGTTAAGCAAGCTTCTGACTCTTGATTTTGGCTCAGGTCATGATCTGAGAGTGATGAGATCAAGCCCTGTGTTGGGCCCTGCACTGGGTGTGGAGCCCACTTAAGATTCTTTCTCCCTCTCTCACTGCCCCTTCCTGCCCCCTGTTCTCTCTCTCTCTCTCTCTCTCTCTCTCTCTCTCTCTCTCTCTCTCTCTCTCTTTCACACACACACACACACACACACACACACTGATGGTCCACTATGTAGAATGTCACAGTTTGGTAAAGTAATTCTATTTTGATATTAAAATGTGACCCGATACACTTATCTAGACATGAGCACACATCTGACAAATTGATTTGATGGTTCGCCATGACTGGGATTCTAGTTCCTGCACTTATGCCTACTCATCCCCCCACATCTATTGGATAAGTGCCTAGTTAAACAGATGGACCTTGGGCTATGTTCTCAAAACAGGCAACCTCTACTTTTGTTGAACTAAACATTGGGTGGAAGTAGCTGCATTGTGTTATTGTGCTCCTGGCCATGGTAATTTGAGTGAAAAGCTATGAATCATTATTGTTGTTTGTTATTGGAAATACCTTTTTCTTTACAACTGAGTATGTGAAGGTTGGAGGAAAACAGTTTCAGGGATCTGGAAAACCTATAGACAGGGAAGTAGTTCTCAGTGACATAAAAATAAACAATCAGCAGGAGTGTGAAATGCCATGTGGTTTTATAAATGCATGTAGCTAAGATTTTAGAAAATATTTGAATTAGCCAAGAGACATGGGTTGATCATGGAAATTCTGCCATTCACTGAAGGGTGTGGGAACCAAAATAGAATTCACAACATCTTTCCTCATGCCCTTGCAACAAGTTCTGCCATTCACTGAAGGGTGTGTGAACCAAAATAGAATTCACATCTTTCCTCATGCCCTTGCAACAAGTTACCACTTTAACAGCTACAGATTTTGATTCTGTGCAGGTCCTTAAGTCCTGGCTACTATCTATATAAATACTACACACTCTCCCTGTGAAGTCAGATAGATTTGGAGACCTGAGTTTCCAGAGTGGCAGAAGATTTTATGACATCATAAGTATGTTTTATTTATGATTGATAAATTCCATTGCTTATCTAGTTCATGTTTGTGGAAAAAGTACTGAGAGGAAGGCAAAAGCAGTAATTAGATGGTCCTGTCCTTGGAAGATAATATGAAATAAGATTTGATACTCTAATGTTGACATGTTAATAATGGGCATGTGGTCTCCATGCATTTTCATGGTATTCTCTTTAGTGTTGTATAAATTATCACATATTTAATCTCATGGAATTATGAATATGGACATTCGTTGCTAAAATGATCCATCATTTATTGATGGGATCACTAACAGATATTTGCTTCTCTTAATTATGGCAATGGTCTGTGGACAGCACACTGAAGTTCAAGTTAAAGACTCCTACTTCTCTTTCCTAAATGATTTCTTTAGTTTTTTTTTGGTAGTTCAAGTTTTTACACAAAGAAAGAGACTCTGGATTCCACATACTTTCTTTATACTGCTGTAGGATTTCTTTTTTTATAATGGCATGAGATTATGCCTATGATACATAAGAATTCTATGGAATAAAGCTCAGTGCAGCATATATTAACTTCTGTTTTCTGGCCGTTAAAATGATTAGAGAAGGCATAAAGTTGTTTACTACTTCAGCAGAAACCTGCAATGGAACTTTATGAAAATTTGACCTCTTGAAAGAAATTCAAATGGCATTATCTTATACTTTGCTTATTATTTGGTTTCTGTAAATATGTGTGCTAAGATAATGGAAACTATATAAGAAATGGCACAACATTGTTTTACAAAAATGCTTTTATTTTCCTCAAATAAAAAGTTAATGCTAAAAGTAATAAATCTGTTACTGGTTAAGGGTTCTTATGCACAATGTCTTAGGATAGCTTTATTTGATGATGTTTTATTAAAATTATTATTATTCTTTTATGTTACATTGTCCTTTGAAATCATTGCATTGCCTAAATAACATTATTCTAGCTCTACTTGATAAAACAGAGGACAGAAGATTAATTTAGATACAGAACAGAAAATAAAAGAATCACAATATGTACTTCATTTTATTAGAAGGGAATACATATAAAAAGAGTCATTTGAAGAGAAAAAAGAGATAGTGAATTATTTTAATTTTCATACCATCATAAAAAAGTAATAAAAGCTATCCTTACATGAAAGTACATAGTATGAGTCTGTGTGTATTTATAAGAGACATGATCACCACCGGCTTTTTCTTAAACTGTCTGGCATATTATAGTTTTTATGTATTATTTAATGTTTTTTGTTTGTTTTGTTTTAAACAGCAAATGCCAGTCTTCTTGGAGGAGGAGGTGGTAAGTCCTGAACATCACTTATTTTAAAATATATTTTTTACCACACCAACCACAAGATATTAAGTTCTGTGATACTTTAAAGAAAATTAATTTAGATATAATTATTAACCACAAAAGTGATAATCTTCTAGAAAGTAATTTATAATAAAATAAATACATTGGTTTGCCTAAATGTTATTTTAAAAAACTTCAAGATACGTGGAATACTGTTTCTCTTCTCCTCAAACTTTGTATTTCTACCTTTGGCATAAGCTGGAACAGCTCTAAGTTATTGAGACAAACACACATATAGTAGATGATGGAGTCACTTTTAATATAAATTCTAAAACAGTACATTTGGAGACTTGTGGATTTAGGTTTTTTTCTTTTTCCATCATAATGACTTAAAAAAAAGCTATCGCTTTGTAGCATGAGAGCTTGATATATCGGCCACTTACTGTGAAAAATAAAAAAGATACTAGTATTGGCACATTGCTTTTTCTTTTAGCTTGTTTAGAGGAGAATGAATGAGATCCAACTGAGATGAAGAAGAGGGAGATCCCTGTACTGGGAATATTTTTTGATACTAAAATCTTGGAGATGTTGAAAGATAAAAGCTTCCCTGGTCCATCTATATCTACTATATAGTAGGGGGGAAAACTATACAGTAGAATAGGGGGCTTTTCATTTAAGACCCAGATGGACATAAATAAGTTTGTTTTCTCTCATCTCCTTTTTCTCTTTTTTTCCCATTTGCTCCCTCTTTTCATGTACATAGTTGAAGTAAATATGATTGCACAGAGCTTTAGGCTTTCAAAAAATTCCCTGGGCATCATCAGGAGGTTACTGGATAAATTTTATTTGGAAACTAAAATCTTAATCATTGTTCCTATATAGGAGTCAATAGATTTTTAGAAAACAGAATCGTGGAAATAGAAATAATAGAAAAACAGTTTAATCTAGAAAGTGCTCTTCATATTATCATTTATCAGTGCACATTCTATGGCAGAGTATTTCTTGTCTTCTTCCCTTAATTACTTTAGAAAATATAAATTGACAGGATTTCTCATTGTATTTTTGCGAAAGGAGAAGGGAAAATTTTCCTTGGGAGTTGGGTTTCCAGTAAATTTTTATTTCTAGGTCTCTCTTGTCAAGAAAACATTATTAAAATAAATTGCCCATAGTGCTGATTTTCTTACAAAACATATTGGTATTTTAACAAATTTGATGAATCCTGTTAAATAGGATAAATCTGTCGCATGTACAAGTAGTCTAGATGTAAACTAGATTGGTTGTATGGTAATTGCATGGTGTCATCAAGCATTCAAGCTCTTACGTTTCTGCTCTTTTTTCCTACTACATGGAACTCAGGGTCCATGGTAGTAACTGGAGTAAATAAATGGCTCTGGCCATTATAGATATGGGGGTCAGGAGGAGTAAGAAAGATGGCAAAAAATAAAAAAGGTGGCCCCTAAAAGATGAGTCATTTTCTTTAAGCAGCTTTTTCTGAAATTCTACATTATCCTTAAACTTATCAAAGGGTCATTCATGGATACATATAATTTCATTCCAGGAAGCAATATGCTCATGAAAAAGTACTTAATGTTATATTTTCTTTTCTTTTTTTACTCTGGCCAGGTTGTATTTAACTAATACTGATTATTTATTATCCATGATACCTTTCTGTTTAAAACATGGTGATCTTAGCTGCTTTACAAAAGGAATAAAAACAACAATATATTTTAATAGAGGAAAATCTCACATACACAAGTTGACATGTGCCAAGTTTATGTCTTTTGTTTCAACCAAGCTTAGATAATCACAAACAGAATTTTAAGGAAAAAAAATACAAACAAATGCTTGTCTTGAATGGACACATGGGAGAAAGGGGAAGAACTTGGTACTTCTGGCATATAGCAGATGGGTGTTAGGTCATCTCTATTAGAGGAAGGAGTGACAAGTGGGGTGACATATTTAAGAAACTTTTCTTTTAGTAGGAACCAAGAGAAGGGTCAGGAGAAGATTCTGCAGGTTACTTAGACCTCACTACCGGAGAGAGTGAGACTCTTTCCTCCTTTCTTCCTTTCTTTCCCCATTGCCTTCCCTTCCCAATTGTTCTTTTCTTATAGAAGAACAGTTGACGTACAGTGTTGTATTAGTTTCAGGTGTGCAACATAACAATTCAATATTTACATACATTATGAAATGGTCACTATAATAAGTGTAGTTATCATCTGTCACCCTACAAAGTTGTTACAGTATTATTGACTCTATTTCCTAAGCTGTACATTACATCCCTGTGTGTTATTTATTTTATAATTGGAAGATTGTACCTCTTAATTTCTTTTACCTATTTCATCCATCCCCTTACCCTCCTACCCTCTGGCAACCATCTGTTTGTTCTCTGTATCTATGAGTCTGTTTCTATTTTGTTTTGCTTGCTTACCTGTTTTGTTTTTTATTTTATTTTTAATGATATTTTGTTTTCTAGATTCCACATATGAGTGAAATCATATGGTATTTGTCTTTGTCTGACTTACTTTACTTAGCATACTACATTCTAGGTCCATCCATGTTATTGCAAATGGCAAGATTTCATTCTTTTTTATGGATGGGTACTATTGCATTGTGTGTGTGTGTGTGTGTGTGTGTGTGTGTGTGTGTGAGAGAGAGAGATATATATATACACAGACATGATCTCCTATATTTTAATCCATTCATCTGTCTCTGGATATTTAGGTTGCTTCCATATCTTGGCTATTGTAAATAATGCTGTGATGAACATAGGGGTGCTTTTTTTTTTGAGTTAGCATTTTCATTTTCTTCAGATAAATATCTAAAAATGGAATTGCTGGAATTAGTATTCTGTTCTCTAAGAAGGAAGAGGAGAGTGGATGTTTTGGTAGGCAATGAGTAGTCCCTGCCATAATGGTAAGGCAGGCTACTGTTCAGAAAGCCTTGCCAAGCTGCTTTGTTTTAATATATGGAAACACAGTTGATGTGTATAGAACTAACTCTAGTGTTTGGCCTGAAGTTCCTTATGGTTCTTGTAACTTGTGTGAGAAGATATATCATGAATTTTTAGCAGTGTCAAGAAATTCAGGAGTAGGCAAATTCAGGTTTCTGTTTACCTGAAGTATATACTTTGCTGTCTTACTCTAGATAGTTGATTTTGCTAAAATGCAGTTTTTGCCACAATTTCTAATTTCTGAATTCTAAAATTAGTGACTTGACATCATCATAAAGATAAATTACAAGTATTTAAGATGGCTGTAATTTATTTCTTTAAAGTAGGCCATTGATGGGTTTAAATTTATTTATGTACTTCTAGAGATGTCAAGATTGCTGTAAAGTACATGTCTGATTTTTGGAAAGCTATATTTAAAAATTTAAGGAATATTATCCCTCTCTGAATGGAATTTTGGTCTTTTGATTCTATGACAAATCTTTTTAATCCTTTCAGTGATATTTGTAAAATAGCAATAATCATCCAATAAGTGACAATTGAATCAATGTAATTCTCTTGGATTTAATCGAGGATTGCTTTATTGACTTGAATTAATATCCCTTCAAAATCTTCTAAAGGGAATAATTCTTTGATTGACTAAACAATTTGATCAAGAAAATCTGACGCTGCAGAAAAAATAATAATGCTATCTTAAGTACTGTTTCTTCAGGCCCTCAGGAAGGCTTCCCCCCAATTGTATGTAAGTAGTACTTGAAATTTAGACAAAATCAGTGTATATAAAATTGCATTATCTGTAAAATCTTCACATTTTGTTGTCCTTTTCTGAGTGCTTATAAACCGAGAAGAAATGTTTCCTAAAAGGAGATTAAAAAAAAAAACCGTCACAATCATCCTCTCAGTTCTAATTTGAAAGTGAGAGAATCTGTTCCCATTGGTGTGAATTTTTATCTTTGGGCTAGAGGTCACTCTTTCTAGGAATTTAGTGCCACCGACTGCATTCATTATAATGAACACAGGTGTTGGGGTCACAACTACCTAATCACTTCAAGTGAAATGCTTGGTAAAATGGATCATCTCTGTCTTTATTTCCTGGATATGTTAAAGGCAGAGACAAATACTAATTTCTTACATAAGTATGTGGCTGATCTGTGGTGACTGGATTCTACTTTTCAGGAAGCCTCTACATTACCTATAATGTCAAAAAAAAACCTTAGAATTTGTAATAATTTTTTATAAGCTTTCTATCATTGCTACTGATACTACCCTGTATAGCTGGGTTTTTGGCACATTGACATATAAACCAAGTAAGTTTTATTTTCTAATTTAGTCATTTTATTAGTAAGAAAAGGCTATATTATGTGTGGTAGCCAATAAGCCTCAAAATCTTAGTGGCTTTATAAAATGAGTTTTATTTCCTGAATGGGATTGTTGGCTCTCCTCACTATGCTCTCCTATAGGTGGCAGTACAGAAACTCAGGCCACTTTCTGATCTTGTCGCTACACTGTGTGAGGTGTAGCTTCGAAGAGCGGAAGGGGAGAGCTGGAGGATTTTGTGAAATGTTATTGACAGACTAGTTTGGGAATGGCTTATATCACTTCTGTTCATATTTCATTGGTTAGAATTCAGGCAGATGATCCCCCAACCTAACTACAAGGAAGGCTGGGAAGAATGGCATCTTCCAGAGTTTCCAGGAAGAGGAAATGGTGTGGTAAATACAAAGCAACTATCTCTGCCACAGCGTTCAAATGAGATCAGGGCTGTTGTTGTTGTTATTATAATTGTTGTTATTATTAAATTAATGGTGAGAAAAATGAGACTTTGGGGGATTTGGTGACTTCTTCAATGCTATACAGCTTATAAAGGGGAAATGTTGAATGAGAAGACAGGGTTCTTGACTCTGTCTTTGTTCTTCTTTGTCTTTGCTCTATGGTTTTTAATATGTGTTTGCTCTTCAGAATTACGATTTCTGTGCACAGATAGGTAACTGTTTACACCAGGAAAAATGAATGAGAAGACAGGGAAGCATGCATCTGAGAAATGGATGATGTTTTC